ACAACGCCTCTCTCTTTACCTGTTGCCTTACTGACGCAAGAAAAAAAAGAAATGCAGCCAAACCAGCCTGTGCCCATAAACCTCAGAGCATCTGTTGGACACTCACAGAAAGTACACTTGGTGTCTGCCCTTCACATCAAGTAAGTACACTCATTTATCTTCTTTAGTTATGAGTTTGATATTTAAGGGAAAGTACTGGAAGTTTTGCAGAGCTAGAGATCCAAGCTAAACCTGTCTTGCAGAAGGAGCAAGAGACTTAGTTTTAATTAGACTAACATTCAGCACCTGCTGGAAGTAGTTTTGAACACAGCAGTGAGCTAAATGCAGCCGTTTGTCATAATTCATCCTCAGGTTTATACTTTTTCTTTGACTGCTAAACTTAAAATAAATACAACATGAACGATCATATGATTGAAACAACAAAATCTCTCTTTGGTTACTACAAAGATCGACACTGTTCAGAAATAACATGCTGCAAAACCCATAATTACACAGCTATTCAGCCAAACTGGTTTAACTGAGAAGTGAACGGGCCCCCGCCCTGCTTTCTTTCATTCAGCACCATAATAAGTGGGTCATCCGTCACAAACCCTGACACAATTAGTCGTACTACTGCTGAATGACATACAGTAAATTATCATAATTCCTCTTGCTGAAAATGATCCTTGTAAAGTCGTTTTATTTGACAGATAATTACATAAAAAGCCACCAACAGTCAAAACCTGGTCCACCTACAATCGCCTCAACATCTGTCTTTTAAAGCAGCTTTGCTCCTAATTTTAAACCTCAGCAAAATCCAAATGTATGAGCTAAATTATTATGAAGCGTGAAACTATCCGTAGACACTGTAAACATGTTTATTTCTGCTGTAAAGTTGGACATTTTAACATGGGAGTGTATGGGGATTGACTCATGTTTGAAGCCAGCCTCAAGTAGCCATTAGAGGAACTGAAGCTTTGGTGCTTTAGCATTGGATTAAATTTTTAAGTCCAAGTGTTTCCTGCTTGTTTATTTCATTCAGTTTAGGGTGCACAGGGCAAAATACCTTCTAGAAGCAATTCTGAAATTTATTTTAAAGGATTATCTAAACTAACGTTAATTTAACCAAGTCTTAAAACCTTTTTTCTCCCCAAAAGTTACACTTCTACCACAATCTTCCCCCAACATATTTCCATTCAGGATTCCTTTCGATGCCACGTCCCTTTTATGATTGTCTGGCGCTGCTCAGTATGAAGATAATGTCATATTTCTGTGAGCCAATCAGCATTTAGCACCATTTGGCCCTGAGGCCAACTGGTGGGTTGTTTAACTGTCAATAAAACCTGGGCTAACACGTTTTTTGGGAGCTAAACCTTCAACAAATAACTGCAAAACATGCTCTTAAAACTTTGATCTTAAGCTTCATGACACAGGATGAAAAGGATGATCTGAAGCTTTAGTGTGAAAAAAACCTTAACGAGAGATGTTGGCACTTTTTAAAAATGATGTCTCCTTCCATTGAAAAAGTCTGACAAAGAAAGCTCGCTCACATGCTCACCAGCTAGTTAATTCATTTTAATGGGAAATAGAGATGTTTGAGAAGCTTCTGGTGAATCCTGTTAAAACTTGTCGTCTTGCTCAAATCACTTAATCTCTGCTGTCTTTTTTTGTGTCTCTCAGGCAGCAGAGCCAGCCACCAGCAGAGGCCCCTCCTTTTGAAGAGCGTTAAGTGAAAGCACGTTGCTCTGTCCTGACACTGAGCTCACTGCTACAGTAGTTTCAGCATTTTATTTTTTCACTGAAGACGTTTTGTTTTTTCTTAATCCTGCAGCCTTTGAAATCCAGCCAAACAAGCTGAGTGGACGGCTCCATAGTTTAGGCAATAGTTTAGGCGATCTTCACATTTGGGTGAAATAAAAATGATCAAACTGAAATGGCTCTCATGTTTGCTTTTTTAATGGCTTCTCAACGTTTTTTTTAAAGTGCAACATTCTAGCCAGGATCTTTGCAACTTTCTTATAATAGTAAAGTTTACTGAACAACTTTGTACAAAAAGGGAAAAACAAGAGAGAGCCGTGCTCAGTATTTTCATGAATCCATGGTGGATCTTTTCAGATTTACAGACATGTATGTTGCTTCTCTAACTGTGCAGCCAGACAGCAGTTCATGCTTCTTTGGAATATACTTATATCTACGATAAAATTAACCTGGATTACTTCATATATGCCAAAGGTCTGCAAAAGTTTGCAAATTCAAGTCAAAACAGTAAATCAGTCAAAAAAAAAAAATGTTTAAAAACATTACCTTAATAGCTTAATAAAATGCAATATTATAAAACAAAAACTAAAAGAAAAAAAATATAAAAATGAAATTAAACAAACAAGCAAAATATTAATTTACACTGAGAGAAAATTAAAAAAAAAATCAATACAATAATAATAATGATGATGATGATGATGATGATGATGATAATAATAATAATAATGATGATGATAATAATAATAATAATAATAATATATTAAAATAAAGTTAGAAATAAAATAATTTAGTATAATAAATTAATACATTTACATTAAGTAAAAAAATAGAATAAAAATTATGCTGTATAGACTACAATAAAATATAAAACAAGTCATAAATAGAATAACGAATAACTACTACAATTTTTTAAAAAGTTGCTGGATTTTTTTTTTTTATTGAATAAAATGTACAATAGTCAATCAATGAGCTCTAGTGACCTTAATCCAAAACAAAATAAAATTTAAATAAAATAAAAAACTAAAAAGCTTTAAAAGCCACATGGAAGAAAATGACAAGACCCAGTTGATACTCTGGGGTAAGTAAAGAACAACAAAGAAAAACCTGTGAAGCAAACTCAAAAATTTTAAAAAAGCATCTTTTCATGTGCTTCAGAGTTCATATTTCCCTGGATGAGGTCTCTCAGGCACAAACGATCAGGTCTGTCACTCCACCTCTGGGTGGAGCTGCAGGGTCAGTTAAGGTTGCCGTGTGGATTTGGTTTGGCTCCGCCCACCAAACTGACGCAGGTGAGGTGGCAGAGCGTGACAAAGTAAACAGAGATAATCACGTGTGGAAATGAGAGTGTAACTATTTGTACTCTTATTTGTACAACTCAAACATTAAACTAAACATATTAAATACTGAAATATTTAAAACATCCTCCTTTAAATCCACGCTCTAAGTGCAGACGTGTTTCTCTCTGTGTATGTTCACAGCCCAGGCTGCTGATATGAAACATGAAGTCAACGTGTGCTCAGCTCTCACTTGGCTTTCATGTCCACAGAAACTCTAAGAAGGTCGAGCTGGTGAACGCTCATATTTGTAGGTCAAAGGTCAACAATTTCAGTTCTTATGAAAGAAAACAAGAAAGAGGCGGATTTCTCAACTTTTAAAACTTTGATGCTTTACTGACGGTGTGCTGGCTAACATGCAGATACAGACTGCACATGTAGCTCTGATAGCTCTTTTATACATTACAGCTAACAACACACTCCTGATCCTGGCCTCGAAGTCATCATTAATACCAGCCCAGCCTCTGGAGCTGTCCCAGCACACTGTGACCTCAGCCTTTATTTACAGGGTCCAGATAATTCAAATCCAGTCTGCTCAACTACTGCTCATTTCTAAAGTTTTAAAGCAAAATATAAAGAACTGGAGGGTTGCTCAGGACTTGTGCACAGCACTGGATATGAGATTCAGGAGAATCGATAAAAGGGTTTCTCTAAATACAGGCATATTTGACAGTAGCAAGCTGGTTGATAACACGGTGGTAAATACGCTCCTGTCACAACTTTTTCAGTGTTTTTTTTTTTTCTTGCTAGCATGAAATTATTCAAGAATAAAAATGTGTATTCAGTGATTTACGGTTTTGTTTACAAATCTTAGTAGATTTCTTGTACCGAGGTAGGATTTTGATGTACTTTTTTTAGTTTTAGTTTCTGTGTCATGTTCCTTCTGGTGCTATTCAATTATATACTGAAGGCAAACATTAGCACACTTTACAGCACTGTGCTGCACCTACTTTAAAGCTTTTAACAAATATTTGAAGATTTTCATTTGACATTTTAGAAAACCAAACATTAAAGTGTTTTATTATACATTAGAGCAGTAAATTATAAAGTCATTTATAATGAATGAATAAAATGTGCTGTTCTACTTCACTCTTATTATATTCTGATGGTTATGTGCTGTTTCTGCAATATTATGATATTTGCCTCTCAATGTAGGTTTACTAAATTAAAAAGAAATAATATTTTAATGTTCTTGGAGGCTCTTTAATGGAAATGATATTTTTAACACTATTATTGTTGTTGTTATCTGTGAATATTTAAAGTGTTTTACAAAATGTTTTTCTTTTTAATTATTAATTATTAAGATGTCAAATTATAGTTATTTAAATGCATTCCCGAACAGAAAAATATAATAGTATTAAAATGTGAATTTGGTTTAACAAGTTTTAAGTTTTAAACAATATAATTTGAGAGATTTTTAAAAAACAATTGTGTTTCCTGTTTTTATAACAGGCGGTTTTATAAATTACTTAAGTGGTGTTAGTAAATTTAAGTTTTCAGTGTATTCGTGCACCGCAGAGCCTGAAATCATGCCTATTGTTAGTTCAATTTTAAAATCCTGTATTTATTTCCTGTTGAATCCTTTGATTTCACATGACCTGCTTTTGGTTCCTGGTTTCCCCTGTGCCACCGTGTTTCTGAGTCTTGACATCGAAGCTGCTGTTTGTTGTCAAAACACATGTAAGAGATATGACAGGAGCCAGGATAAAGATGTCTCGAGGTGAGTTTAGTGTCAAAGTACAAACATTTAGTTCACCTGATGTTGAAATAAGGTAAAATAAGGTGTAATTAAAAATGAAAGAAAGAAAAAATAGTTCTGCTGTTATCCCACAAATTGAATTCTACAAAATTTAAAAGAAAAAAAAGGAAAACAGAAAATTTATGACCAAATAAACAGCATAAAAAAATTTCCAGATCCGTTACTCAAGATGAGTTGAGCAATGAATAATATGTCTTTATTGTACTGAGAAACAACATTAATTATGTCACATTCACTTTATATATATATTTTTAAGTCTGTTTACCTTTTATCACCACCAAAGTGCATTTACATTCAGACACAGGTAATGTGTTGATAAATGCATTTATTTCTTTTCTTTTGCCTTTTATGATGAAAGCCTGAATGACGCTCTGCCTTGTTCGTGCATATTTTTTCTTTTAAACCCGGGATGGCTCTAATGAGAATGCATGAAGTAAAATGTACCTGGAACTAGATTTTAGTGGTCATAATCTAATTGTCCTTTATACTCTTTAAACTATAACTTTAAAGGTTTCAGAAGTGGTGTTTTTGTTTTGCAGTACAAAGTTTTGTGGACACATGTTGTAATGTCTTAAAATAATCCACACCTCAGATTTTTGCTGTGGACAGAAACTAATATCTGAACTTCACCTGTTTCATGCAGCCTGGGTGGATGTCCAGGCAGATTTCAAGTAAAGAAATGTTTTGGTTCATTAACATAATCGGCGTCACTGTCAATGAAAGGGAGCTCGTCGTATCGGATCGCTGCCTCCCAGCAGAGATGCAGAGCCTGAGCGACAATGTCCTCCGACATCCTCTGAGCAAAGTCCAGCAGAGCTCTACTGGCTGGAGGGGGATCCTGGAAGCTGCCGTCAGCTGAGCCTGCAATACCTTCAGAGTCGCTTGCATGCTTCAGAAACCCCTCAGCCTCATCGGTGACGGCCTCATCCGGTTTGTCAGAACGGGCTCCAAGCCAGCATCTTGACCTGTTACATCCCATTTCACAGAGACGCTGATGGAGCTGTTGAATCTTCAGCAGCACGAGTTTCTACTGGTGACCTTCATGTCTGCAGAAACAGTCAGCAGAACAAAGACATGTTGGTTTTAAACACTTCCAGGAGATGTTTGACCCAACAAGAGCTGTTTATCCTTTCTGGAGAAAGATATCATCACCTTCCGACCTCTCTTTATCCGACAACAGCAACACCAGAGACACCGGGCTCTACGAAACACTGGAGAAAACAAGCCTTTTTAAAAGGTGAGAAATTTCATACACAGTCACATATAAAGTTTCTGTCAGACTTTGGACTAAATAAGGCATTTTAAGGCATTATAAATACACACATGGGTGGCAAATCAAAATGAGAGCCTTCTACAACACACAGTGATATTACAAAATGTGAAAATTTAATTATTTTTTTCAAGTTACCCTCTGTCCTGTGCTGCAGTTCCTCTCCAACCTCCAGAGCTGCTGATAACCAGGCTGCTGAACCAGTTTCCACCTGCTGCTGGTTTGTGGGAGGAGCGAATCGCTGGACACCACCCAAAACAAACTGTTTACCCCCTGAAAGCCCTTAAAGTGCACCTATTCTGCTCATTACCAGTGCCATGCTTTTATTTTTGGACTCATAGTAGCTTTGCACGAGTCAGCTGGTGAATGAATTCAGAATAATCCTTCTTTATCTTACACTGGGCCTTGGTTCAGCTCCTCGGGCCATCCTCTGTCTGAAACAAGCTGTTTCAGCTCCTCGCCCTTTAAACCAACTTTCTTAGCAGAGTGTGTGAGCAGCAGATGGAGCTTCTGTGCCTGAGATGACCATATTAGGAATAACTATGACATCATACAGGCCAGAGAGTAGAAAAAACAGCATGAAACTGAGCATTTAGATTTGGATCTGTCACTGCCAGCTCGTTACTTTGGTGAATTGGTGTGTTTCATCCTAAATCATGACTTTTTAACACCTTAAAGGGACTGTTATTTTCTGGGTGGCTGATGCTGCCACTGCCAGTGCATCAATGGCAATGACGTTACAGGACACTTGGCTTCGATGCAGATGCAGGAGTTACCTGACAAAACAGGATTAGGATGTGAGTGCACCGGCTCTGGCTCTGTGTGAAACTTTCTGTTTGTGAGGGGCAGCCAATCAGAAGAAAGTCAGCTGCAGGCCAAAAACACAAAGAAAAACTAATGGGGCAGACCCTGCAGGCTTAAAGGGAGAGGAGCTACAAAGCTGGTTTGACACAGAGGATGAACTGAGGGGCAACACTGGGGCCCAATGCAAGAAAAAGAAGGATTATTTTGAACTGTGATTCATGCAAAGCTACTTTAGGAGAGTCCAAGAATAGAAACGTGTAGCTAGAAATGAGCAGGATAGATTCTCTTTAAAATAAAAACAACAACATAGTGTTATATCATTCCGTATGTGTCATCTAATAAACAACAAGCGCAAACTAAACTGTAGATTTAGCTTTCCAGTTAACACTTACAGCTGAGAGTGATTTTTAAGCCTCAGCAAACAGGAAGCAACAACTTCGAGTAAAATGTAAATATGGATCATGAGCAGGTGATGGTGCCTTCAGAGTCCTGCAGAGTGGGAGTTTGTGCAGCTCAGAATGTAGACACAGAGTCAGCGGCGCCATCTGGTGGCAAAACAAAATAAAATACAAACAATAGGTCTTGGAGAGGAAAATGCAATGCGCACCTGTCAATTCACTTTTTAAAACTCCCTCTGTGTTGATGTTACCAAAAGAAAAGAAAGAAAAAGCTTATTCTAAGAGATCCAGCTAGCTGACTTAGCTGTGTGCATGACTGAAACGTTTAGAGATGTTTATATCTCTGTGTTTAGGCTATGTCACACTGTAGTGTGGCATTGCTTCATTTGTCCCGCTTTGCATTTTTAAACCTTGTTATAAACACACTTCAATCAAACGTATTTGATTATTTCACATCTGAAAAGTTGTCCTACCTCTTTAAATGTCACTTCTAAAAAAAAAAAAAAAAAAAAAAAAAAAAAAAGCAGCCAATCATAAAGTCCTGGGGGGACAGGCTCACATCAGACGGCGTCACTGCGCTCACTTCTTCTCTCCAGCATGCTCCTCTCGCTCTGCCTGAGCGTTTCTGTTATCTTCTTTTCCTCTTCGGGTTTTGCCATGGAGATGAACCAGACCTCCAAGTTGCTGGGGGAGAGCGGAGAGCAGTGTTCAGCCTGCGACTTCCGGGAGCACAGCAAGCAGATGAGGCTCCACAGCATCAAGTCGCAAATCCTCAGCATCCTGCGGCTGGAGCAGGCGCCCAACATCAGCCGCGATATGATCCGCCAGCTGATCCCCAAAGCGCCTCCTCTGACACAGCTGCTGGACCAGTATGATCCGCGGGTGGAGGACGAAGACCACGCAACCACGGAGACCATCATCACAATGGCAACAACGCGTAACTAAACAAACCACTGAGGGCTTTATACCTAAAATAAATAAATAAATACATGAATAAATAAATAAATAAATAGTTTTGCACTTTTTTGTGCGTAAATCCTGTGCGTAAAGAGGCGCAGTAAAATAGGATACTGCTGAGGCGCAAACGACCAAACAGACCTGAGCTACGACTTTAAGGCCGTAAATGTTTATATGATATGATGTTTATATTTATATTAGCCATAAAATCTTAATGGCAGGTGACCAACAATTATCTTTAACGAGGATTTGTATTTGGTATTACTGGTGTTGAGCGTTTGAGGGAGCCTCCCAGCCTTCACATGCTCAATTGGGGTGGTTAGCACCAGATTTCTGTCGTTTTAATCTGGAGAATTTTAATCTTAGATTAACTAGTTGATGAATTTAGAAGTTATGGTGACGCAAAATACCATTATTGAAGGACAAATGAAACATTTAAGGAGTTATCATACTAATACCACTCATATCTTAAATCAGCATTAAATTCTAGCTACAGAATTTCTCCAAATCTGTTCATTTATTTTTCCAAAAAGGAGACAAAACAGACAATTGACTGACAGCATTAACTGGAATAACATCGTTCAAATGATCAGGGGCACCTCCAGAATTTTTTCATAGGGGTGGCCACATGGGGGGCCACTAAAAATACTGTAGTGGCACAGCAAAAACAGAATTTCCAGTTTTAATAAATATTTTTTAATAATTATAATAATATCCTTTCATGAATGTCTGCATGCATGACAACCAAAAGTTTATGTGAAAATGTTTCTAATGCAACAGCATAACATTTTTTTTGTTTGTTTGTTTTTATATGACTCACTTCTTCCAGACAATCCAATCGCCCAGGACGAATTGTCCTGTTGTCTGTTCAGCCTCAGTCCAAAGATTCAGCCCAAAAACATCCTGAGCGCTCAGCTGTGGGTTCACCTGCGGCCTGCTGACGTGGTTACCACCGTCTTCCTGCAGGTCTCCCGCCTCAAACCTGGCAAGGAGGGAAACAGCACCCGCGTCCGGGTTCGCTCCCTGAAAATTGACACTGACGCTGGTGCTGGCTCCTGGCAGAGCATCGACATCAAGTCTCTGCTGCAGGCTTGGCTGCGTCAACCAGAAACCAACTATGGCATAGAAATCAACGCCTACGACTCCAAAGGAGAAGATCTGGCCGTTACTTCAGCAGAGCCTGGAGAGGAAGGACTGGTGAGTCTATTTCCTCTATGACTCTATAAGTATTGGTTTGCAGTAGCCGTTATTTTTATGCATTACACTTAAGCAATGGTTAATTATTGGCTAAATTTCAAGTAAGCTCAGTACCTATGATAATTTTTATAATGAAACAAAATTATTACTTAATAAAGTGAGGCACCAAAAACTATGTGGTCAGGTTTAGGCACTATAAACTATAAACCTTCCAGGCTGTCTTATGCATTACTGTTTAATTTTCCATTTACAACTCCTTCCTAGCAACCCTTCATCGAGGTCAAGATCCTCGACAACCTCAAGAGATCCCGTCGTGACTCGGGCCTCAACTGTGATGAAGAGTCTGTGGAGACACGCTGCTGTAGATACCCACTCACCGTTGACTTTGAGGAGTTTGGGTGGGACTGGATTATCGCGCCCAAACGCTACCGAGCAAACTACTGCTCAGGGGAGTGTGAGTTCCTGCACCTGCAGCAGTACCCACATGCACACCTGGTGAACAAGGCTAACCCACGGGGTACAGCTGGGCCCTGCTGCACACCCACCAAGATGTCACCCATTAACATGCTCTATTTCAACCGCAAGGAGCAGATCATCTATGGAAAGATCCACTCCATGGTGGTTGACCACTGTGGCTGCTCTTGAGGATATCACGCATCTGTGAGGGTGAAACGTCTAACAGAAATGATGCAAAGATTTCAAATATTGCACTTTTTTTTTTCAGTTTGATTTGGTAGTTTAAGAAAAGCAGCCAATAAACAGGTTCCAAAGATGCTAAAAAACATCCAAAACAATGAAATAAGTCATTTCAGTTATTCAGTTTTGGTCTTTGTGTTCTAATCCAAACAAAAATTGACCAAACAGGATGCAAACACACATCAAAAACAAACCAACAGCGAGCCCAGAAATACTCAAAAGTCGCACAAATTTATTCATATAATGATTGCTTACTTTTTATATATGTAACTGCTGTGCTATAAACCTGTAAAAACAATTTAACACAGCATTTAAGCATTTTAAGCATTTAACACACTCAGTAGATACAGAGTAAGAAGCTCATTCATTTTATGTCCGAATGTAAAATGAAGCAATGCAACCAAATTTAAAAAAAAAATGTATTTCAACAGAAAGACAATTTCAAATGTGCAAAAAGAGCATTTAGAGAAAAATCTAAATATATTAAATGCTAAATATATCTAATATCTCATATATATATAAAACGCATTTAGGCAGGATTCAAAAGGTAAAAGTTAGTAAAAGTATAGTATTACAAGTAACTCTTTTAGCACAGTTTTTGGTCTCCTCTGGGAAAATGTCTGTATTTTTAGCTGCTAAATGCTGCACTATGTTCTCTAACTGTGTGTGTGTGTGTGTGTCTGCTGTTAGCTTTGTAGAGCTTTTTTTAAACTGCTCCATGAGGAGTGCTAATCAAATAGTGAATTTTAAACCATAACAGTTTTTACACAACCTTTACAAATAGTCATTGACTATATTGTTATACAAGACTTATTGAATATAAGCTTTTGCTTTTAGTATAATCTTTAAGGCTTTTGAGATAATCACTGTTAATATATTCACTTTTTCAGAAAATAACAGAAGATGCAATCTTACACACATATATCTTTTTTTAATATATCTTTTTTTATTGGTGTGTTTACCCACTTTCAGGCCTTTTCGCACATTCAAGTGTGAGGCAATGTTTGAACATGAATATCTCAAAATATTAACAATAAAAGCCTAAAATATTCGCTGGTATTTCTTACCATCAGAACAATTCAGGTAAATTGGGACAGAGTTATTAAAAAACGTCTGAGTATCGGCTGGCTAAAATGAAAAAAATGTCCCATATTTGAATGCACGCTATTAAAAAACTTTACATTGCAAAAGAAAACTAGTGACACTTTTTGAATGATATATAGTTATATTTTACAATAATGAAAAGTAAAATGTAAAATATTCTTTAACATTAAAATGTTAGTCACAAAAATGGAAAAAAAAATCTTGTTTTTAAAAATTTGAATACCATCTGGAAGCTCCAGAATTTTTGATGTATTCAAACTTTGATCTGGACTAGCTGCTGATATTTTTTTGTTTTTAGGGTACAACGTGTCATATTTGCTGGATTCAACAGGGAATTTGAATGAAAAAAAAAGTAAATATCTAAAAGTAAGTAATTGCCATATAAAGATGAAATTTCACAGCAGTCACTTCATATGTCCAAACGTTGGGCCATTAGTTTATTATGCAATTTGAAGATGATCAAAATTAGTCATTTATTAATGAATCTGTCCCAAATTAAAGATCCTGATTCATTTTCATGGTAAATGTGAAGCTGAAATTTAACAGCAATCACAAACTCAAAGTCAAACTTTGGACCATAAAAGTTTTATTTAAAAGATGGTTGAGCAGATGAAGGACCCCTGTGTAACTCCCTGATGAAGGCATCTTTGCTGAAATTAGTTTTGTAGGTTAAAACTAATTTCATCATGTTTAATTGCTATTTACAGAGTGCTTTGCAGAGCTTGGATTTGTAAGTAGTTTAACTGTCTGAAGCCACAGAGTTTGGCTCTTCGATTACTTACATACTAACTGCATTAATTCAAACTTGGCCATGTTTTATATGAACATTCACCATTGAAATGGGATAAATATAGCAGGAAATAAGAAAAAGCAGAATAGGCCACCTTTGAAGAAAAACATGGCTTATCCAGCTGTTGCTTTTCAGTTACAGTATTGTGCACGATCAGAAATCTGTATTATTGTTAATGTTACTTTCGTATCTCCAGTGTTTGTTAAATGTTCTGTATGCATATAAAAATGCATTTTTAACTTAATCAGCACTTTGTACTTTGGTGGACTCACTATGGGGGTCTAAATACAGTAATATCAGATAATCATATGTGCAAATGTCTGGAATTTTCTGCCATCCTAACTCAACTTTCACACAAAAAATGACTTTCAGACTGAGTAGATGGACCCCTGCTGCTTCCTGTCCTATTTTATGAAATCGTGTCCTGATATGAGCCTTGACCAAAGCAAACCCTGCAGGGCATCTTCCATGTGCGCCTTTATTTTGAAAAACATGAACTGAATGACTCTGATCTGGCACTTTGTCCCTCTCCCTGTTCCAGCACTCATTTTAGAGGAAAAGAGTTGCTCTTTTTTTCCCTTTTCTTTTTCTTTTTTTTTGAGGACGTTGTTGCAGGTGTTATTCAGTGTTGGAATTTTATTTTGCTGTTGTATTTTTGTCGTGGTGGATTGTGTGCAGAGACTTTGTCACGTGTTAACTGGAGGCAGGAGAAAAAGCTATTGTGGGGTAATTTGAAGTGAAGATTTGTCATAAATGAATTTAGTCTCTTTATTCTGAGTCTAAAAGTTGAATGTAACCACTGCCTCATAAAGTACTGTCACATTTTGGTACATAATTTGTTTGCCGTGTTCTCTTCGTTGAGCTTTGTGACTTCAGTATTTATTTGTTATCAACAGAATTAGCTTTGAGAAGTCCCAGCGTACTGAGTCTTGTGATACTCCTAATTTCCTTATATGGTATTAGGAAAAAGGGAAATATATAATTTCTTCAGGAATAGGAAAGTAGTCTGCAGGAATAGTTCTTCATGCTTCCTGAACAACATTCAAAGCTCTTCTTTCTGCCTTTCGTTGTTATACTAGGATCTAGGAAATCTAGGATCTGTTTGGGATCTGTGTCAGGTCTTTGCTGGATTATGTTCCTTTTACTTAGGGACATGAATATACATTGCTAGGCTTGATACTTCTGCTTTTGTCCTCCCCTTGTCCAGTTTCCTCAACTTTTTAGAGATACGCTGCACACCATCCTGAGATATGTTAAGTTTTCTGCTAACAGTAGTTTATTATAAGCAGCCTGTCAGAAAAACACATAATTGTTTTTGGGTTTTTTTTTTAACCAATTTCTTTATTTGAATCTATGAAAAATGCTAACAATAACACAGGTTGACAGAAATAAATGACATTTTCATACCAACAAGGTGATTCCTAAACTAGCAAAAGATACAGTTTAAATCAATTCTTTGTTGTCTGTTCATCCTTAAGTTAGGTGCCTTTTTATGCTTGAATGATTGACAGGACAAAGTCCCCCCCCCCCCCCCCCCCCCCCCAAAAAAAGACAAAAAACAAATAAAATATCCTCTCAAAATGTCCAGGTAGAAGGATTGAACTGAAAATGAGTGAAAAAGGAGCCAGTATCAAAAGAAACATTTAGAAAGACCTTCAGAAAGTCTGGAGAACTGTTGCTCAAGACCACTTAAAGGAATTACAACAAAATCTGTCTAATTGGACGTAAAACAGAAAGAAATGAGTATTTTTGCACTTTTGCACAGTGCTGTATACCACTACATCGTTGCAGTGATGTGAACCAACACTGTTGGTCAGGAAAAATAAGAAATTTAAAGGCGTGTTAAGTTCAGGAAGATCCACAAAAGGATCCATAAAAAATGAATCAGCTTTATTGTGTGACAGTTTGTAACGATTGCAGTCTCAAAACACCTTATTATGTAAAATCTGAAAACTAAACCTATAACAGAACACCTGCAGTTTGTCAAACTCAATCTCATCAAGGACCTGACATGTGAAATGCTTTACTGGGATGCTTTTATTCAACAAGAAAATACCACAGGTTGTTGTATAGCATGCTCTTACAAACATTTTGATTCAAAAATGAACAAGCTGCCTATACATTACCATAAAGATCGCAGTCATGCTTCTGAATATGACTGGTCATATGGAGCATTTGATAAAATCAAATACAATTTTCTGAACGACCTCTCGCCAAATGGAAGATCTGACTGAGTGGTTTCCTCTGCTGTGAAGCACCTTGTCTTTGTGACTCCATCACTTTCAGAATTGGCACACAAGAAACATTTACATGCATTTATGCTGTTCAGCAACTTTCTGAAGACTCTGTTCTCCTGTTCTTGTGTCTGATATATACTGTAAGTTTAAAAAAATACTGTAAACATCTAAAGCAAAACTGGGTTGTTATGGCACCTATTTTTAGTCTCCGCCACCTCCTCGGGGAGATTTCTCTGTTTTTAGCTGCCAATCAGACGGTGAGCATTGTTGTTTTTTTAGAGCTTTGATCTGAAAACTGCTTGATGAAAGTTTGGTTGTAATACTTTTTTCAGTTTTGCAGATGAACAGTAAGAGGTGGAATTTATGATGTGAATGACAGTGGTGGAAAATCAGTTGTGCTTATTGCCAGCTCTATGTCCTTTCATTATTGGGCTCTTTTAGAGTAGCTCGAACCCTCCTCGGCTCATCCTCTGTCTGAAACAAGCAGTTTTGACTCCTACCCCTGAGTTTATTGTGCCTGAGCTGACCATATTAGGGATATCTCCCCCCCCCTCTATGACATCACACAGAGCCAGTGTAGAAAAAACTCAGGAGCCTTTCAAGCAGTCTGAATCCTGGATTTTGGCTCAGAGCGAGGACTTGTACATCCCCTGACCTCGTGTTTTGTTTTGTTTTTTACTTTGCCCATGTTTAGTCTTAACATGCATTTAAACAGTTTATATAAGCAGAATAACTTTCAGCCTCCTTCCATGGAGGACAAATCTGGAGAAAGTCACTGACTGGTCCAATAGTGTGTAAATAATCAGGAAAGTTTGGCGCCGTCAGCCAAAATTCAAGCATGAGAACAGAAAGCGTGACTTAGCAGGGAGGTTTCAGCTCAATTTGAAGCCGCGTGCAGATGTCCTGACTGTTGTTGTGCTTCACGGGGGTTTCTGACCCAAACGTCTTTGTCCCGCTGTTGGAGCAGAGCATCCACGGGTGACACATATCCACGTGGATGACTGTGCAGTGAACTGAAGTAAACTCATCACACTTATTTAGTGTGTGAATGTGTGTGTGAATGGGTGGATGACTGGATATGTAAAGCGCTTTGGGGTCCTTAGGGACTAGAAAGGCGCTATATAAATACAGGCCATTTACTTATTTAGTCTCTTGTTAAAATTGCATAGGCTGGTGGCAGGTGCACTTAACAAACAAAGATGTTTTTTTTCCCCCTGCAAAAAGCGTGCTAACGTACAGCTCTGAGTTTCCCACTTTGAGGTCTAAACATCAGGCTGTGTTGCTGCATTTGAGGACCAGAAATGTGTGAAACTCTACCTGCTAGTTTTTGCGTAGTCTTTCTGATGAAGAGAGACACGCTGAGCTTTTCTTTCTGCCACACTTGGTCTGTAAATATGGGTTCATTTGTCACCTTTATTGTAAATTATATCCAAAATGGAATACAACCTTGAAAGAGTATAATAAAATAGAGTATCTTGAATAATGTAGAGTATTGTTATTAATCACAGATATTTTTTTCCCAAAATCATAAGTATAAAATTATGGAATCATCTTTTTAAAACAAGTTGTCACAAACCTAAATATGCAAAATAGTCTGCAGTTAAAACTCTCAATGAGCTGTTGCACCTGGCTGATCGAAAGGAAGCTAATAAGAGAGTAATCACTTAAATATTTACTTCATGACTAAGGTTTAAGAACAGAAAAGGAAACTTGCAGATTTAAAGTAAAAAGAAAAAAAATAAAGAAAATCAAATATTTGTGGTGCATTTATGTTCAGTCAGACGGGTCAGTAAACGCCAGCAAATGTCAGTAAATGAAAGGTTCATTGGAGAATTAAGTTTACAGCAGCAAGTGAAGGCATCAAACGGTGAGACGCCGCCGCTAGGGGGCGTAGTGACATCATAAGACAGGTGTAAGAAGACCGAGGGAGAGATGATTGCGAGTCTCTGAGGAGGGTTGAAGTTTTCTGAACAGCGGTTCGAGTTTCTTCAGGTTAAAAGAAAAGACTGGAGAAAGAGCGACACCATCACCTGCTGGAGGCTGTGGAGAGAAGGTTCGTTTACAGTAAGTCAAAGGTGTCGAAATTATATAAATCATAAAATAAGGGTTAAATTTTCAACTCTCTTCAACTTTAGCTCATTTTAATTTCTCATACAGTCATAATTGATTTTTATCTGCCGTAATATGGTTAGTGGTGTTTTCACATCTATACAGTGGTAAAATATGCAATATTTTGTATATCTAAAACATATTTAAAAACATAAAAAACATAAGGCTGATTGGGGCAGTTTATCTGACATGTATGTTAGCATTTGTAACACTGAAGATGCTGCCTGTCAATTTAAGGTTGGGGTGTGGCAACCTGGCCACAACAAGCTTTGGTTATGTGTTGTTTTTGTTTTATCACTGATTTAGGCTCTGGGTAAACATTTCTAAGACACTTTAGTGTTAAAGGTTTAAAAACCATCACTGAGCGGGGTTTTCAAACTGTTTGGAAACTGCTGGATGAAAACAGCCTTTTTAAAAAAGAAAACAACTAGATGCTTTAATGGTATTAACCCGCCCCCCCCTCCCCCCCCCCAGTAATACATCACATTCACTGTCTTTAAAAGGTTTTGAGTGTAAATCATTAGCAATGACAATTTTATGACTTTATCATAAAACTATAGACTGTATGTAAAAGATGGTAATTATAATGTTAATGTTTACTTACTGCCATGTTGGAGCCAAAAGTCACCAAATGTCAACAAGTGGGTGATGTGCTAAGTTATCAGCTAATGCTAGCTTGGTTAGCAAATTGCGCCTATAAACTGTACAGCTATAACACATAGACCCATTTACCTGCTAATCAGTTTCAGACATTCTCAAACTTCACAAATAAAATCCATATTATTTGTCAAATAACTTCATTAAAATGCAACAAAGACACAAACAGAGTCCAGCGATCCTATTCAGTGGCTAGATGTAGCCTAGCAGACAGCTAACAGCTATTTAATTATTGCCGTTTGGCTCTGTAAACAGGAGCACCTCCAGAACATTTTCATTGGGGTGGCCATATGGGGGCCAATAAAA